TCTTTCCCTGCTCTAATATTTCTTTCCCACAGCCCATACAATCTTCTAACATACCACATACTTTCCTTATTATGTTTATTGTCTGCTACTCCTTGCTTGAATGCAAGCTTTACAAGGGAAGTGATCATTCTGTTTTTTTTTTCACTGCTGTATCCCCAGCACCTAAAAACAGTGTCTAGGGGCTTCCCTGGGCCCGTGCGCCACAACTACCAAACCTGCGCTCTAGAGACCGCGAGCCACAACTACTGAGCCAGCACGCCAAAACTACTGAAGCCTGGGCACCCTAGAGCCCGCGCTCCACCACAAGAGAAGCCACCGCAATGAGAAGCCTGTGCACCGCAATGAAGAGTAGCCCCTGCTTGCCGCAGCTAGAGAAAGCCCACACGCAGCAACAAAGATCCAGTGCAGCCAAAAATAAATCAATTTATTAAAAGAATAATAATAATCTTTGAGTGTCTGGCACATGGTCAATAAATACTTACTGAATGAATGAATGAGTTCAATTAAAAAAATGATTCGAAAAAAAAATGATTCAGAGGGCAAAAACTAAAAAATAAATTTAAAAAAGGAAAAATACAGGGCTTCCCTGGTGGTGCAGTGGTTGAGAGTCCGCCTGCCGATGCAGAGGACACGGGTTCATGCCCCGGTCCGGGAAGATACCACATGCCGCGGAGCAGCTGGGCCCGTGAGCCATGGCCGCTGAGCCTGCGCGTCCAGAGCCTGTGCTCTGCAGTGGGAAAGGCCACAACAGTGAGAGGCCCGCATACCGCAAAAAATAGAAAATAAAAAAAGGAAAAATACAGGGCTTCCCTGGTGACGCAGTGGTTAAGAATCCGCTTGCCAATGCAGGGGACACAGGTTTGAGCTCTGGTCTGGGAAGATCCCACATGCCGTGGAGCAACAAAGTCTGTGCGCCGCAACTACTAAGACTGTGTTCTAGAGCCCACGAGCCACAGCTACTGAGCCCATGTGCTCCATCGACTGAAGCCTGCCCACTCTAGAGCCTGTACCCTGCAACAAGAAAAGCCACTGTGATGAGAAGCACGCATGCTGCAACGAAGAATAGCTCCCACTCGCCGCAACCAGAGAAAGCCTGTGTGCAGCAACGAAGACCCAACACAGCCAAAAATTATAAATAAATATAAATAAATAAATAAATAAATAGGAAAAAATACATAAAGAAAGTCCCTTACAGGGACTTCCCTGGTGGTCCAGTGGTTAAGACTCCATGCTTCCACTGCAGGGGACGCAGGTTTGATCCCTGGTGGAGGAACTAAAATCCTGCATGCTGTGCAGCACGGCCAAAAAAAAAAAGATGGAAATAAGAACATACATGTTGATAATTACCTTAAGTGTAAATGGATTAAATGCTCCAACCAAAAGACAAAGACTGGCTTAGCAGCTCCCAACCTGTGGGGCTACCTACCAGGAAGGACAGCTTGGCCTCGTCAGTGCTCTCGATGCCTTTAGTGTCAAATTTGCCCTGCTGGAGGCTGCTGTGCATGATGTTCACGGCACTTGTCACCCCACGCTGGATGTCCTGAAAGGTGGTGGCTGGGAAGCCCATCCGCAGCTTGTTACACAGAATGTCCCTGGGGGGCAGATTGGCATATGAGGATTGACAGCACTCAACCTGGCCTCCAGTTCAGCATCACCAAAGGGCTCACTACCCTGACCCAGAAGCATAAGTTGCTCTTTCCAGGGAATAACCCATCCTTGAGATCACCACAAGAGACGCTTAGCAGCCAGGGTATGAGAGGCCAACACCCTCTCAAAGGCACTGATATGAAAGAATACAGAGGAGACTGGCCAACTCTTTTTTTTTTTTTTTTTTTTTTTTCTGGTTGTGCCAGGTCTTAGCTGTGGCAGGCGGGCTCCTTAGTTGCAGCATGCGTGCTCCTCAGTTGTGGCCCGCAGGCTTCTTAGTTGCAGCTCACTGGCTCCTTAGTTGCAGCACATGTGCTCCTTAGTTGCAGCCTGCAGCCTCCTTAGTTGTGGCATGCAAACTCTTAGTTGTGGCATGCACGTGAGATCTAGTTAGCTGACCAGAGACTGAACCTGCATCCCCTGCATTGGAAGGCGGATTCTTAACCACTGAGCCACCAGGGAAGTCCCCCATGTGTGATTCTTATAAGCTCCAGATGAGGCTACATACATTAAAAACTAGACCACAAAGTGATTTCTGAGAAGTTTCTTGAGGGAAGTTATGGGAGATCAGAGGAAGGCCAGGAAGTCTGAACAAGGGCAGAAGGTAGGTCATGAACAGTTTTCCTGAAAAAGTGATCCTCAGAGAACTGGTATGGGTTACTAGGAAGGAAATAAAG